GGATGGAGCTGGAAAAGATCATGCTTAGTGAGATAAGCCAGAAAGAAAAAGAAAAATACTGAATGGTTTTGCTCATAGCAGGAGTATAATGTACCAAGCAAGAAAATAATAAGAATAATGAACAGCCATATACCAGAGACATTTTGTGGGGGTAGAGTGGGGAATGGAATAAAAAATGGGGGGTGGGGGGGATGGGGAGGGAAGTTCACTGGACTATAGTGATGGCACATGGGTGACTCGGTGATGGAAAAACCACGGGGATTACAATTGAGATAAAAAAATGTACAAAATGATGTAAAACTTAAACTATTATTAAACAAATTAAAAAAAAATAAAACTGGAAAATGAAAACCCTATATGTGAAGAGATAAATATCAAATAATTTCTTACTTTTTAGACATAAGTTGATTATCGCTTAAACTTCAGGGTGAGACAATATGTCACAATATACAAAAATACCATATATCCTTTATGTCACATAATTATATTATTTTTCCAGCTTTTCGTGGAACAAACTGTACTAAAAAGTGGAAATTTGACTCAGATAGTAATAGAAAAAAAAAAAAAAACCTAACACCTAAATCTTAAATCACTAAACATAGAGTAGTATCTGACTAATGAAATCACTATTGAAAATGTTATCTTAGCATATGAAGGACTATTAACAGTAGATTTTAACACATTCAGAATGAATATGGGTTCATGAAAGTGTGGTTATTATTCCTTAGCTGTATCTGCAGACTTTATTCAAGTTCAGTATTTTTTAAAGTATAAGTCAATTGCACAATGTGATTTAAAGCTGTTTGCTGCTGTCCTTTGAAGCAGTCATATCACATTCAAAATACATTTCTCTAGTAAACAAAATTATTATCCCAATTCATTTTTGGAATGGTGAAATTGGATTTGTGGTCGTGTACATATTGAGAAGCTGTGCATCTTACAGATTATTAACCACTGGTAACCATTCGTCTTAGAAATCATGTAGAGTATTTTTATGTTCCTATGTCTAACCAGCTAATATATTATAGCTATTGTTTATGTGGGTGAAATAATTTCACAGTATATGGGCACAATTTAAAATATATTTACTGAAAGTATATATGTCCCTCATTTCTATCAAAATCCATTTGTTTCCTGTGATGAATATATGTTACAAAAACATATCCATATCCACAATCCAAAGGTATTTCCTTTTCTCAAGGTAAATATGTCATCACTCCACCTGGACCTCAAAATGTCAAAGCTGACATTTTTCATTCCTGCTTAGTCTTATTGATCTTGTACACATTGGGGCCACCTATCCTCATTTGAATTAAGAGAGGACTGAGGGGTATACCTCCTTTGGTATATAAGCATCTCATAGACAGCTGTGATGGGGATAGTAAAAATTGTTTATGATACATTTTTTCCAAAGTGGCAATGTTTACTATATTTACTCAGATTCTGAAGAAAAAATAAAGAAATCAGATGAACCTGAATATTTTAAGCATATGAGCCTATGACTATTTCAACCTCAGTTCTTGTACAAAATCTATGAATCTCATGTAGATCAGTCTCTAACTGGGATGTGGTAATAAAGCTGGGTGCTGAACTAATTACCATGCTGTGCTTTCATAGTTCACTTAGGATTTTCCCTTGCTATAAAATCCAGGAAATTACAAAATGCAGATCTCAAGGACACCATGAATCCAAGACTTTTATAGGAATTTGTAGCATTAGAGAGATGCTCACTTGTTCAACAAGGATTTATCTGATCATTAGCCACATTCAAAGTGCTGCTGCGGGTAAGTATAGAGCAAATTCTAGCTCCTGGCTGCCTGGCTGTACATTAGAACTATTGTGGCTCTACAGAAGATTTTACTAAAATTAATTTCTTAATACAGTATCATCAGGTATAAGCAGATTATTTGTGTTCACTAGAAATGGGAAACAACTTTCATCTGAGCAATGTAATTATTGTGAAGTAAAAACTGGAGTACTTCTGTCAAAGCATTTGTAGCCTGTTTCTACTATGCCAAAAAATGAATAATCTTTGAGTAATCAGTTGTAAGTCTAATAACCTCTGTGAACACACATGTAAAAATATAGATCAGGAGATATATGAGTGTGATGTGTTAAAGAGAGACACAAATAATATTTAATAACACAATTTTTTAAATTTAACTTATTTGTCCTTTAATACCTTATAATTAGAAGTTATTACTAAGTATGACTTCATTCCTATAGTCAAAAAATATTTAGTAATCTTGGTCCTCTCTTTCTTAAATATCAGTAAGCAAAAGAGTACAGCAAAGAGCATGTCCCAAGGATAAACTTATCTAGTAAGGAAAAATAGGGATACTAGAAACCCTGGTTTAAAGAAGAAAACAACAGTGGGGGAGGCAAGAGAGGGTGACTAGAGGATAGAGGTCTACCTTTTCATCAATCATGGAGTGATGAGTCAAATGCCCTCAAATGGACTCTGGAGGTTGAAAACCAACTCAGTCACTCCTCTTAAAGTGCTCCTGACCTTCATGGAGGCAACAAACATAAATAGAAGCACAGCTTTTCTATGAGCTAATAGCCAGTAGCCTTGTTTTTTACATCCCTTCCCCCAATTCTCTATGCTTCTGAAACACACTACAAAATCTTATTGATATTTCCCCATTGTAAATTTAACTTCCATCTCCATTATGAAACATAATGATAAACATTATTCCATGTATTTCTTGGTCTGCATACTCTTTGTGATTATAAAAATTGATATTATCAGCATGGTCAACACTCCATGGGCCATGCATTCTACTCCACTATTTTCCTCCTTCTTTTCTCTGGCTAGTCCTAGTCATTTTCTCCTGATCTGTCATGAGATGTCCTCTCGCTATTGCTCTCACCTGAAATATGTTTTGTTCACCTCCTAGTGAACAGCTAGGACATGCAAACAATCTGAATGCTCACTTACAGAGACCTGGATCAAGAAGATGTGGTATATCCACACAATGGAATACTAGTCAGCTACAAATTAATGATCATCATTTATTAGAGCTAAACTTAAACATCACTTCTTCATGGGAACCTTTATGATGCTCTCCCTTACTGCTATATCCATACTAGCTATGTAAGTCAGCTTTTACAAGTCATTAGCTTATGGACTGTACTGTATCACATATTACAATTAATAACAATAAGCTCAATGAAGTGAAAACAGTGTAAGATTTGGTCATCATCTTCATTATTTAGCAATTTCTGGCACACTGTGAGACATTATCCCTTTTTAAGTGATGAATGAGAATTTCTGTTTAAAAAGTAAAATAGCTTAAATTTATCATAATCATTTTTATCATTCTGAATGATGTAATTAAATAATTTCAAATTTTATAATAAAAATTTCAATTATTTTACTTAAAGTTTCTTAGATTTTTGGCATTCCACAAATATGGCCATGATGACTATTCTTCATGAGTTACTTGTTGAAACTCAGAACTTTATTGCTAAATTGGCATTTAACAATTTTCTAAGATAATTCCCTCATTTTAGGAGAGTCAAAAGATACACAAAAGGGCATCCAGAGATAGAACAGGGATGAAAATAAGCCATTCTAACTCCCAGATCAATGTATTTCTTCCATAACTAAGCTGCAATATCTAGGTTTTATGACTTTATTCTCATTTTAGAAATTTTGTGAGAACATTTAAGTACCCATAAAAGAAATTATCACCTAATGGCTAATTTTGTCCTATAATGTTAATTTCAACTATAAAATACTAAAATAAACAGTAATATTTTAGAAGAGCAAAAAAAGCATTTTGTAAAGAGATAATGATTTTAAAGATTTATTTGCAAATTTACACCATATGTCTTACTGAGGCAAATTAGGGATGGTACATATTTTCTTGGTTTCCTAGTATTTCTCCATTTAAGTTCCTTTTTCCATAATTAAATTTCTAAAAACCTGAAACAAGTTCAACATTGAGAATGTGGCTGGGGAAATTATATAGAAGAATAAAATACTATGAGTATCCAAGCTGCTAATGTGAGCTATGTGACTCTGGGCTACTTATTTCCTCTTCAGACATTTCTGTTTCCTCACTGCACAAACAGGAGACTGCTCTAAATAATGGACCCTATCTGTTGACAGACTTCAAAGGTTCACTGCATACGCTAGTATATGTATATGAGAATATATTTTTCCAGTAAGTGTTTCCATAGCTTTTATGACATTATCAAAATTTTGTGACCCAGGGCACAAAAAGCTTTGTTTCTACAGTCAAGAAATTTTTAAAACTTAATTTTGCAATAGTTATCTTATTTTGTATTTTGCTCTGTGAAAAATGAAAGTTGTAATATACTTTCAGCACACTTACCAGAGTCTCAAGAAATTTAAAGTCAAAATTATTCTGAGAATTTCAAAATCACCCCCAAACTATGGTTTCTGGTTGGTATACATATTTTAAATTTTTATTGAGGTAATGTTGGTCTACACTGTTTGTGTTTTGGAAGCAGAAGTTCCCACACACACATGTTGTTACTATAGCATTTTAAGGCTCATTCCCACAGACTTGTATTTGGAAGTAAATGTTCATGGAACAAGCAAATATGCCACTAAATAGGCCATGCATTAGAAAGAAATCAAGTACAAGATATTCACTTTGAAAATTAAGATATAGAAGACTAAAGATATTTGTTATATCTCAAGGAAGAAAAATTCTGAGATTCATAGCTAACATGTAAGCACCCTTTCTTTCTAAAATATTACGTTTCCTCTTGGAATTTATCACAAGATTCATTTTGTCAACTTCCTTCAGATAAATGAAATAATAATGATATTTTACCATTTGTGTGATATAATCTGAGTTAATTCTCATAAAATATATTAATGTATGTGTAACATACACATACATTTTGTATGAGGTGAGGTAGTCAGCCCTCCCCCAAGTTAGCTTCATATTCCTGCTTCCACTATGCATGAAAATGCACTGTGATCTCACAAGCTCACAAATATAAACTGAAAGCAACCATACCTTGCCAAACTGATCTTTTTTGCCAAATCCAGTGGCAGCTGCAATGCTTCCTGCTCCCTCCACGGTTTTTTGTGCAACTGCTGTCACCCCTGTCACCACAGCCTCTCCAACATTTGTCACTTGTTCTTTGGTCTTCTCAGCCACTAGGATAAAACAAGCCCAACAGATTGGAGGACAGTGTAAGGACAGTGATTTGACATCATTAATCATCAACTTCAAAAGGCCTTTATTTACACATAGCATAGTTAATTGAAGGGTGAGGAGAAATAAAAACTACATAGGGAAGTAAATCATATTGAGGTTATGAATATTCAAGAAAATCACAGAACCAGTGAGGGGAAAGCAGAAATTAGAATCATGTCTGACTCCAGTGTTTATAGTTGTAACCCTGATTTTTCCTATTTTTATGCTAAAGTTTAGTAATAGGAAAATGTTGCTGTTACAAACCCTATTATAATTCCTGCTTTCTGATCAGATGAATTATACTTCTGATTACATCTCCTGTTTTACAGTAGCTTTCAGAAAGATCAGAACACATACTATATGAAACTCAACTACAGATAATAGGTTTTTAATATTACCACATTTTGGTTCTCCTTTTATCTTCCTATTCTATCTCTATTATCCTCCTTACAGTCATGTTATTATTTATTTACTTTAATCTTCTTATTTATCTACTGAAATTATTGGTTAAAATTGGTCAAATTAAATAAATACAATGAATTATTTACTGATAATCCCAAGCTGTTTCTTAAAATGTCCCCTGGATCACTAAAAATATAGCCATTGTAATTTTTAATGTCAGAATATTTCTTGTATTCTACACAAAATACTACTTCCTGTCTTTGGAAAAAAGACATCCCTTATGTGATCCATGCCAGTAGTTTGTCTAAACATTAAGTTGGTCACAATACTTACAAGCTATCGCACTATAAACTAAACATGGTTAGTCAATTCAGAGTCATCATTTTGGACAGCTTACTATCTTGTATTTCATCTATTTCCAGTAAATATGTACAATTTAAAATCATTTTACAAATAATTAAAATTAAACAAAGCTGCCGTTCCCTTGTAACATCTAGAAGCCCCTCCACTGGTGCAGTGGTTATTTACAATTACATTCTGAATGATACTACTGAGCTTGTACTGATTACTAGATGGTTTCAATATCATCCTGGATATAAGCACCATGTAGCTTACCTGTTGTCACACCGTGAACCACTCCTTCCTTTGTTTTTGAGCCTATAAAAGACAAATTGAAAAAATAAGTTTCAAAACTGACCTATATCAATTATTATTCTGCCAAATAGTTAATTTTAACACAACTAATCAAAAAATAAATATTCACTGAGCCCACATATACAAATATTCTCATGGGCAAAAAAAATCTAAAATATGACAGTAATCACTAAAACAAAAAGAAAAAAAAAACAAAACTAATATGAGTTTTGGCATGATTCAGATTTTATCATACAATTTTATCCCCTTGTGTCCTACTTCTATTTTTTAAAGATTTATTTATTTACGGTTACAGAACTGGGGTGCAGGGGCAGTGAGAGGATTCACCAGAGACAGAGTAGGGAGCAGAACAGGCAGATCTATGAAGTACATTGCAGAGGAGAGCAGCGGGTGGGTCAGGAGAGGTCTGCTGCACCATATGGATCACCTCCTGGGCTGGGGATTGAACTCATGCTGCAGTGGCTTTAGCCTCTGTGTTATGCTTTAACCCTCTGCACCACCAGGGAGAGCCCAGAGCCTCTACTTTTAATAGCAACATAAATATGGAAGGAAATGGCTGAGGTAACACTGGTGCAAAATAAGAAGATAATTTTGGTTTCAAAACAATAAAAGCTTTATCAGAGTACAGACACAACGTGGTGGAACAGGGAGCTTTTGATAAACTTCTTCCATAGTACAAGTAAGAAAAATTCAGTTTTGTTAACAGGAAATTTCATCAGGTCATTGAGGATGAAGGGGGACTGCACCAAATATATTTTCCACAGAGTTTGGTAGCTCAGGAAGAGACACAGACATGGCCAAGGTGCCAGTAATTATAATCAACTGAACAAGTTGGGGACAAGATACAGGCAGTGTGATACATGGAAAAAGTTTAGTAAACCTTTTAGTGAGGGGAGAGTGCAGATCCACATGTACATTCCCTCCTGGGAATGTTCTCCTGGTCATGGATAATCCGGTTACTGGTAGAGTGATGGTAGAGCCCCTTCCCACCTTTCTGGACTGTAGTAAGAGCAGGGAAGTAGGGGAGCTTCAGCCCACAGAGAGGACTGGCAAGAGGGTGATGGCAGGGCCCAGGAACATGGGTCTGCAAAGAAATGAAGTGCTTGCTCTGAAGAAAGGCAAGAAGAGGAAGTGTGAATCTCTCTACATGGAATAAGACTGAGTATATAGAATTCAACTTCCCATCCCTCCCTCACATGCTGTCTAAAGAGATAACAAAACTAATGACATAGCACCCAAATCCAAAAAGAAGCAAAGAAGGCAACATATGTAACTAGAAAGTAAGGACAGCTGATTACAAGATGGAAAAGCTTCACGAAGTGCTAGAAGTCTGATACTATATTAAGGAACAAGGATTTGAAGACCTAACAAAGATATGAGTATAACAATCACAGAATTAAAAGAAGACCTTGCAGAAAAACCAAACACAGAAAAGAAGGTTCAAGATCTAAGAAAACAGATCCAGGAACAAAAATAGTTTCCTAAACAAACTGAAGGTAAAAAAAAAAAAGGAAAAGGAAAAGATACTAAAGAGGCAATGGATGAAATTAGAATAAAAAGGGAAAGCATTATTAAGTCTACTTAAATCTCACAGAGATTTTAGACACTGGAAACACAACAAATGACTCAAGTGGAAGAAGTGAAAATAATAAGATTTAGTAAAAACAAAGAAACTCTATAAGAATTTTCTCTAAGAGGAGAAAGCATAAGAATAATGGATATTCCAAAAGGTGAAGGAGAGAAAGGAGGAGAGAACTACAAAACAAACAAAATACAAACAAATTAACCAGATAATTTCCTAAGCCTACCAAAAAAATTTAAACATGAATGTCTAGCAATTATTACCTACACTCCATATGCAAAACTAAATTCAAAGTGGGTTAAAGCCTTGCATAGGAGACTGAAATCATAAAATACATAAAGAAAACATAAAAATATAATCCTAAAATTAATCTCAAATATGTATTTGAGAATTCACCTCCAACAGTAGGAGATTTTAAAAAAACCCAAACCAAAATAACCAATAAATGGGGCTATATCGACTAAACAAATTTTTATACCATAAAACCAAAAGACAAACTATGAACTGGAGAAGATATTTACATCTCATGTGTCCAACATGTGGTTAACTTTCAAATTACATGGAAAAAAATCATATAACTCAATAGAAAAAAATAAATTTAATTGGACAAAACTCCTAAATAGACATTTCTCCAAGAAGGACTTTCATATGACCCACAGGTAAATGAAAAAATTTCCATCACTTACTAAAAGGGAATGATAATCAAAACCACAATGAAATATATCACTTCACACAGGTGAGAAAGACTAAAAAGCCTGGAAACAACAAATGTTGGTAAGTGCATGTAGAAATGAAAAAAACTCAACTACTCGGAGTGGTTGAGTGGAAAAGTAATTTGAGGTGACCTCTATGGGAAAATGACATGGGAATTCCCCAAACAATAAAAATAGATAGGGGCCCTCCCTGTTGGCACAACAGGTTAAACCACAGCACTATGAAGCAATCTGCAGCCAATGCAGCAAGAGTTTAATCTCCAGCCAGGGAGGTGACCCATATGGCATGACAGACTTTTCCTGTCTTGCTTGCTGCTCCTCTCTGCAGTGGATTTCAGTCACTCTGCCTGTTCTGCTGCTCACTCTGTCTCTGGTGAATCTTCTCACCTCCAACACCTCTTGTACCCTAGCAGTTGTATGCACAAATAAATAAAATCTTAAAAAAATTATGATCCAATAATGCCACTTTTAGATATTTACCCAAAGAATATGAAAAGCATAATACAGAATACTGCATGGATTTATTTATTCATAGAAGCATTTTTCATTCCAGTCAATGCTCTACTCTTCCTTTTTCACCTTCTCTTTCTTTCCTTCCCTCTCTTCCTCCTCCCTTTAGTTTTGGCATGTAGCTTTCTAAGTTTTCTAGCATTACCTGTTAGACATCTTATTTATTTATTTATTTATTTATTTATTTGTGTGTGTGTGTGTGTGTGTGTGTGTAGCATACAACCTATAAATGGCTTTAGATAATATGGCCATTTTGGCAATATTTATTGTTAAAATAACAGTGGATATCTTTTAAATTTTTATAATTTTTTTCATTTATTTTAGCAATATCTTATAGTTTTCAGTGTTCATATATTTTACCACCTTTGTTAAATTTATCCACTTAAATCACCCTTTTTATTGGGCTGATTATAAATGAGGTTGTTATTTCTCTTCTAGTTCTTGTTGACATGTAGAAAGACAAAAGAATTTTATGTATTAGTTTTACATCCTGCCACTTAACTGAATTCATTTAGTATTTCTAGTAGTTTTATGCTAGTCTTAGATTTTTAACTTTGTATCATCATTTCACATACAAATAGTGATAGTTTTACTTTTTCTTTTCCAATTTGTATTGTCTTCATGTCTTCATTCCCTTAATTGTATGGGTAGGACTTGCAATACTAGGAATTGCAATACTAGGACTTGCTACTATGTTGAATAGTAGCACTGCAAATGTACATTCTTCCATTTTGTTCCAGATCTTAGGGAAATGTAGCATCATACTGTATATGCTGTTGATATAGGTTCCTTTTGTTCCCAGATTATTAACTGTTTTTAATTACAAATGTGTGTTGAATTTTGTCAAGTGCTTTTTTCAACCTTGGTTGAAATGATCCTGATATCTATCTATCTATCAATATCTTTAGATATAGATATCTACATATATATTTATTTATATATATAAGTATATATATTTGTTGATATAATGAAAGGTATCAATTGATTTTTTAAGTTAAGAGGTATCTTTATATTTTTTAAATATTTATTTATTTATGCATACAGAACTGGGGTACTGCCAGAGGTGCAGGGGTGGTGAAAGGATTCACCAGAAACAGAGTGGGGAGCAGAAAAAGCAGATTGATGAAGCACACTGCTGAGGGGAGCCGCGGACAGGTCAGAAAAGGTCTGCCTCGCCATGTGGATCACCTCCGGGGGAGAAGGGAATCGAAGAACTCATGCTGAAGTGGCTTCAGCTTCTTATTGCTGTGCTTATATCCCACTGCACCACCAGGGAAAGCAAGATTTTTGCATGCTGAATTAACCTTACATCTCTAGCATGAATCCAACTTGGTCATGATGAATGATTTTCTTAAAATACTGTTAGGTCAACATGTCAAAATTTTGTTGAGGATTTTTGTTTATATTTTTTGCATATAAGAATCCATACTATTGATTAATGATCTATTTATATTATGAATTATATACTGTAATTTTGCCTCTTTAATTTCTTATTCATTTTGTTTAGATTTTCTTTCCTCTATTATTTGTTAGCATGTTTATCAATTTTGTTTATCCTTTAATAGAAGCAGTTCTTGGTTTTGTTGATATTTTCTCTCACTATTCTGATTTCTATTTAAAATTTATTTTGTTTTTATATTTCCTTCCTTCTACAATTTTTTTTTTTAAGATTTATTTATTCATTCATACAAGACCTGGGTTACAGGCCAGAGGTGTGAGGGGTTAGAGGATTCAACAGAGACAAAGTGAGGAGCAAAACAGGCAGTGAAATACACTGCTGAAGGGAGCAGCAGAAGAGACAGGAGAGGTCTACTGTGCCATGTGGGTCAGCTCCCGGGTCAGGGATTGAACTCATGCTGCAATGATTGCAGATAGCTTCATAGTACTGCATTCCAACCCACGATAACACTAGGGAGGGACTAACTTCTGGTTTTATTTGTTCTTTTCCTTTCAGATGTTGTTAGATCATTTGCTTGAAATTTATATTGTTTCTTATATTGCTGGCTATTTCCCTCTTAATACTGCTTTTAATCTACTCTATTAATTCTGTTAGATTTTATTATTTTCTTTAGACTCTAGATAACTTTTAATTTTTCTTTTGATTTCTTAATTGACCAAGTAATTGCAGGCATTCTGTTGAGCCTCCATGTGTTTGGGGTTTCCTGGGGCCTTCTTTTATGTGTTTTTTTCTAACTTGA